GCACTCCTCAGACTGGAGACATCTGTCAGGACCTAATGATGTGGGAAGATTCTACATAAAAGTGTATGGAGGTATATCACAAAGTATTTACAAAGGTTGATCAATCTGTAGAAGTAGGAGCTGAAGGGTTAATGTTACCTGTAAGGGGATCTTCTAACATTTGCACGTTGATGTATTTTGGCGTATAGCTATCAGTTGTTAGTTCGTTCGGACCATGTCATAAACTAAATATAAAAATCAAAAGGGGAAAAAAAAGATAAAAATATAGAACAAATGTCACTATATGTCCCAATATTTCCGCCTCCTGGACTTCTTCTTTTTCCTGTACCTCCGAATATTAGCAAGATGGACGTTACTTGAAACAACCGTGGACTTTAACCCTTGAAGAAGGCGAGGAGACCAAAATATTGAAACTTAGAGTGACATTTGTTCTATATAAAGATAAAACACTGAAAATATTATAATGAAATTCACCTGCAGCCAGCCAAGTTTGTTGGAGTTAACTGTAGTGGTATAGGAACATTTAAAATGTGAACACAATAGATCAAAATCATCTTTTCACGAATACATTTTGGTTGGGACAATTAACTGTGGCAGATGTGTTTAGAGGATTCGTAAGTTGCTTTTGAAAGTCCTTGCTCCTTACCGGCAATAATTTGAATTTTTCATGCACCACTGGTTAAAGTTACTAACCAATATTTGAGCAAACAGGACTAGGTAGTTCAGCTGTGTCCATCTGGAGTCAGGATGTCCCGGGTAAAATCTCAGTCTGGCTTTCTGTTACCGTAAAAACCCATGTAATTTGCGCATTTTTTTTTCAGAAATGTATTACCCAAAGTAGGGGTGCGTAAAATACACAGGTATAGAAAATTTCAAGTTTTTTTCAGGAAAAGATCGACGATTCTGAGAGATCGCCATCTTGGATTATTTCCCTTGGTACACGGAACTCTAAGACAAATGACGATCAACAAATTTATTTATGTCAAACATTAATAAAAGATACATAATGTGTTGTTATGTGTGTTTATGTGAAAAATATTAATAAATAGGTAACCGTTAACAACAAAAGTTTAGCCAAATTCCTATGCCAGAGAATCGCCGATCAACTTACGACATTACGTTTCGACATCTCGGTGCGTTTCCCAATACTATTACGAAAATGTAGTTGTTCAATTAAGCTCCGTTCCATGTAAGTTCTGTAAGGTTTTTTCAAATCGCCTATGCGTATACGTATAGCATGTTTTTTTTCCGGCTCACTTTCATGTTGATCTCGCGTCTAACATTATGTAAACACGTGATTGATAATAACCTCGTGAATTATTTCAATATTTATTAAATGAAGCATCGTAAAAATAGTCTGCGTTAACTATTTTTTTCCTTGGAGTAGATTTGAAGAGGATGTATTGATTGTCCACGCTTCTAGTATAAACATATTTTTTATAATCCCTTATCAGTCAAATCAGTCTGT